GTGCTTTCTGCTCACTCTCCAAGTGTACCCGGTGCCACCCTGCACTGCCCCAGTTACCCTCCTGACTGTGGGCAGAGGGGCCTCGCAGTCCTGTCGGGCACAGGCACCTGCTGGCCCGGCCTCCCTCTCCCGTTCTCTTCTCTGCAGAGCAGGGCCACTGACAGGTGCTGGTGGAGAGCCTCCCGCGCTCCCGAGTCTGTTGTCCTGTCACATGGCTGGACTTAGGTCCGTTGCTTCTGGGTGCCCGCTGAATGCCCCTTCATGTCTCAGAGTGGCTATGTGAGTGTCACGTCTGTGGGCGTCTGCCAAGCCCGGCAGTGTGTTCCGGAATCTCGGAGAGGGCCCGGGGCGTGCCCACGATTCGTGGAGACAGGTGGGCCGTCTCAAGGTGACGCAGGGCGGGGTCCTGTGAGCACTTCCACCTGTCACAGAGCCTCGGGTCCCAGAGGGGGCCACTGAGATGGTGTTTCAGGTGGGTGGGGGACCAGGCTGGGTGACAGCCCCGAATCCTCCGCATGGGGGAGGAAAGTGGCCTGGGGCGAGAGAGCAGTACTCGAGATCTCCCACCTCTGCGTGAGGGCTGAGCCTCTCTTGTGATGAGAGCACTGCATGGTTCCCAGAGAGACAGAAGCTCTCCTGGAAGACGCTGTACCACTGGCTGTTGAAGGGATTGACCTTTGTAGTGAGGCGCTTGTCTTCAGTGGGCGTCCCTGACTGCCGCAGTCTTTCGCCCAGCTCCCTGCTCCCCATGGACGGACCCACTGCTGCCTCAGCGCCGCGGGGGATGCCGGACGCCGAGGCCGGAGGGCCGAGAAGAGGAACTGGAAGGATACGAAGGAAATGTGAGGAATTATCCAATGGCTGGAATCCAGGAAGTTTGTTCACGATGTTTTATGGCTCATTTTAAACCACTGTAAAAATGTCAAGCTTTCTGTAACATGTTTTGCTGGAAACCTGTCTTTACACCATCTCACCACTGACATTGTAAAATGATACCAATTGTTATTCATGAAATCGTACTCAGAACGTCTGTGGTGCTCTAATTTATATTGCGTGGGTGTCATTGATCCAAAAAGTGACACCTGTGTATTGCTTTTGATCTCTGGGAGGGAAATAATGGAGCTGTGTTGATTGTTCAGATCTTTGGATAGAGCCCGATCCCCTTCATTATTCACGGATATAGAGGGGGATTTGCAAAGAGAAGTACAAATTTGTCTCATGGATGCGCTTTCTCTACCTTAATTAAAGATACAAGTTTATTCATTTATTTTCATCTAAATACGTAAAAGTCACATGCGCTAGATGGTGAGGTCAGCTGCTCAAATAAAACTGCATCTGTTCAGAGAGAAAGCTCACGTGGACGTGGCTTGTGGGTCCCAGCAGCATCTGGGATAAGACCCTTGGGTGGTCCCTTGGGAAGAGAGCCCGTAGCGAGAGTTGGCTCGGACGCCTCCCTACGGTTTACGGGCGGCACAGATAGGCCTTAGCTTTGGCAGCCGAGGGCAGAGTGAGGGCCTGGCAGAGGCTGCATCCCTGGGTCTGCCAAGCTGTCTCTGTGGGTCGTTGGAAAGAGGCAGGCCTTCAGTTTCTGGGTCCCACTGGGGCCCCTGTGCTGTGCCCCCCATGTGTGACGCCGTGGCCGCAGAGCAGGTTCCGTTCGCCCAGCATTTCCTGCTCGCCGATGGGACGCCCCTGTGTGTGCCGCGTGGGGGGCACAGAAGCTGAGCGTGTGGCGCCTCATCAGGGGGATGGTCAGCGAGTCCGGGACGGCCCCGTGTCTTCCCTGCCTTCTTCCCGCAGTGACTGCCATGAGTTTCTGGATATTCACTAACAACTGTCCTCAGCAGCCCCTGCCGGCACCCATCACCTGCTTCCCGCCTGCCTCACAAGCGTCCCCGCACAGATGCCAGGGTGCCTCCGTCCACCCGCCCGCCTCTCTGCCTATTTCTCCTGCGAGCACCGCTATGGTGTGGCGCCCCAGGTCGGGGGGCAGACAGGGTGAGCAGGAAGAGTGGGCAGCCCCACGGGACCCACGGGTGACAGGTCGGCCTCCGAGGGGATGAGCTCGCCCGAGCGGGGTGGGCGGAAGCCAGATGCCCTCGGCGGTGGCCGGGGGTGAGCGCACATAGTTACCCCAGGGAATCTAGGTTAGAAAGGAAGCATGGAAGCGCCGGTGGAGGGATGCTGGGTTTAGGGGTTTCCTTTATAAGGTGAGGGGGACCAGCCGTGTGATGACCGTGTGGTCGGTTTCGGGCCAGCAGATGTTGGAACAAGAGGGAGACGAGGCTGGAGGCTCAGAGGAAGGTGAGAGCCGCGGGCGGGGGTGGATGCGAGGCGGCTGTCCCTGTCGTGGTGGGACGGAGAGGGTGGGGGGAGTGGCCTGGTCTGCACGCCTCCCGCCTCCACACACACGCCCGTTTGGGCTCCTGACCTCGTGGGCTCGCTTCGTCCCTAGTGAGACGACACACACGTCACTTGACTTGACCCGTGTGACTCTGACGTGTGCCGGTACAAAGGCCTGGATTTGTAGCGTCGGCCGACTTCCGTGCTGTAAACACCATCCCTGCGGCCAGTTTCATGGGGCTGGCGTGAGGGCCCAGAGCACAGATTTGGGGCCGGGCCTGCAGTGGCTCAGCCTCTCGTGTACCTCTCGCATACGACACAAGACCAAACATAATAGTGCAATAGTCAGGAAGAGGTGGGTTTTGAGTATTTCTTGCCTTTATTTTTAATATAATTTATTTAGTGTACGTTATTTGACTCTTAATAACAACTGCGTTTAGCAGTCTGCTTTCCGAATGGCCTGACGACAGTGGGCTCTCGTGGCTGAGCTGGCTCCAGCAGCCGTGCGGGGATTGGGGAGCCGAGGGGGTCCTCCAGCACCTCCCGGCTCTTGGGAGCAGGACGTAACTCCCACATCTCTGTGCTCAGAGAGAAGACGGGGACGGGGGCAGGAGGAAGCGGGATGAGGGCTTGGAGGAGTGAGTGAGGGCGGCCCTGCATGGCTCTCGGGGGCCCCACTGCCAGACGTGGGGACCAGAGCTCGGCGCATGGAGAGAGGATGCCCGTGGAGCTGGAGTCCTTTACCTCCCCGGTCAGTCCAGGGAGAGAGAGCTGTCCTTCCGGCCCGCCCCGAGCCAGGGCAGTCCCCACACATGCCCCGTCTTCCTCAAAGGCTGTCTAGAATCGTTCTCAACCAGGATACCGTTTGAGACCCCTGGAGAGATGCAAGGTGGGCTTTTGTTCCTCCAGATTTTGTGACTGACTTTGGTGCACACCTGCCCACAACAAGCGTCACGTGGGGTCCGTATCCCGTGTTTAATTTGCTGTCTGTTGACGTGTAAGGTCCCACAGACAATGAAATCTCAGTGCTATAGCATGAATTCACTTCATTTTTCTAGGGACTCAGAGTTAATTTAGAAACCCAATGTGATCTTCGGGCATCAAGAGAATCTCCCTTAGGTGGAAATTGCCCCTTTTTTCCTGCTTCGTGAATAGATGAGAATATTAAAAAGGAGGGATGCATCTTCTTCTGAAAGATGAGCTGCTTGATGAGTCTGGGCCTTTCTCTTTGATGCAGAAATCAGTGCTTTGAGTTAGCGTCATTAGGCCGCCCTGTTGCCGCTGCAGGCCCGGGCAGCCGTAGCCAGGGAAGCGAACAGCCCCACTGCTCCTGCAGCTGTTTGCCGAGTCCCTGGGAGCACTCGGTTTGCCCCTGAGCCCGACAAGCCTAAGGAGGCAGGGACCCCATGTGTGGGGCCTGCGGTGGCCTGGGGTCCCGACCCTGCCCTTGCCCTGCCTGCTCCTGACGGCCCCGCGCTCGGCCTCCCAGGGAGAACGCGGCATCTTGCTAGTGAGGGAGGCCGGGCAGCAAACACCTGCGGGGCAGGGGAGGTGCCGTTTGTGCAATAAATGGGCAGACAGTCCCACCTCACGGGAGTCCACGTGCCGGGGAACCATGCCTGGGAGGGTGCACCTTACCTGGCCCCGTGGGGACACCCTGCCCTCTGCACCCCGCCTGGCCTCCAGGTCCATCCCCCGGACAGACTCTGACTCCACTTGAGCCTCAGCGTCCCTCCCGCCTTAACCTCGCCCTCCTATCCCCTCATCTCCGGTGAGTTCCAACCCCAAGCCCTTCCAGGCCGAGGATCTTGGGGGCAGCAATGTAGCTGGAAGTAGGGGTGGGGTGGGGGTTTTAGTTTATAGATTACAGATTAATACATGTATCCGAGGGTCCAGAAGAAGTTCTGACTCACTCTCAACAAAGCTTTCCACGGCCAGCGTGTTATTATTGGCGCCCTCAGGGTGGGTTTGGAGCCGTGTACAGCTGTGTTGGGGTAAACTCCTGCTCACCAGGGGCCCTGGACAGTTTCCAGACCTAAGTGACAGGAATGTTCCCCAGTGGGGCTGGCGCATCTGGGGGAGCAGGGGAACGGGGTGGTGGTGGGGTCGTGAGCAAGGGGGCCTCTCCCTGAAGAGAAGGTGCCTTTGAGGGGCACCCGCATGCCTTTTTGCAAAACCCTCGTCCTCCTGCCGGCTCCCCACCGAGACCCTTCAAGGGGGGGCTTTTGAGGTTCCTTCTAAGAAGAGATTCTCTTATGGCGTGGGGAGGACTTGCACCCGGCTGACGGCACAGGTGGACATATTTCCTGGAAGGCCCATCAGGCTTTAGGGAACAGGAAGAGGTCTGATGGGGGCACCCCACATCTGAGAGGTGAGGGTCCCTGGAGAGCTGCCCAAAGGAGCGGGGTGGCCCCCAGGGCGGTGCTTAGGATCGGTGGGCTCCTGATGGACCAGTGGACCAGGTTGGTGGTGCTGGACATCCGATGTGACCGAGGCCTGCTCTTCCATAGGAACAGCCGGCCTGTGCTCAGTGGAGCTGGTGAGGTGGAGAGTGTGGCCCGCGAACTAGGACGAGCCCCCCCACAACGCCTTCCCCGTCCCGCCCTCACTCAGCCCCGCCAGGCCACCTGGGCGGAGGCGAGCAAGGGGGCTGTTACCTGGCGATCTTGTCCGTGCAGGACATGGTGACGAGCTGCTCACCCAGCAGGACGCCGTCCCACGTCTGTACCGCGCTAGGGCCCCGGACGGGGACGGTCCCTTCCCCAGACTCGATCTTCGTGCGCAGGTGCCCGCGGAGCTTCCTGACGATGTGCTTCCTGCTGTTCACTAGGAGATAAGAGGTGGCCGTGAGCCTGCTGGTGCAGACACGTGAGTCCCCACCTGGAGCCGTGCGGGAGGAGGGCAGGTGCCCAGAAACATCTCCAGGGGCCCCGGCGGCACGTGGACAACTGCTGGGCTGGGGAAGCACAGATGAGTGCCCCAGCGGAGGGCAGGGGCTGCTGCAGGGCTGCGCTCCAGAGCACCCCCTCTAGACCAGCCCCCGACTTCTCCGGAAGGGCCCGGCAGTCAGTGTCTGAGGCTCCGTGGTCACGTGGCCTCTGTCGCCGCTGCCAGAGCTCACGGCTGCACAGACAGCCCCGTGAGCGAGCGTGGCTGCGCTCCAAACCCTGTATTCGCGGACGCTGAGATGTGAGTCCCATGCCTTCCACGCGCTGGGAGATACTGCTCTTCGCACCTCTCTCAGCCATCTAAAGATAGTTCCTGGACCGTCTGGAAGGGCCGTGGGTGGGGTCTGGCCTGAGGGCCGTGGTCTGTAGACCCCAGTCGAGATTTTCCTCCTGGCTATATTGTTTTCTAGCTCCATGACCTCGGAAAGGTCACTCATGACCACTGTAACACGGGTGTTGAACCCTAAACTAGGGCTAATAATGGTGCCTGCCTCCTGGGCTGTGGGGACGGATGAGGTCAGACATGCACAGTCAGCAGGGCATCCGCTCCCACCAGGGTCTATAGGACGAACAACGAGACACAGCCTTTGAACTGGTCCTTGTGGGCCCCTCATGCCTTCGTCCCATATACTCCTGCTTTCCTTCCCAGAGCCCCCTCAGCGCGTGCGCGCGCACCCCGCACCCTACAGTTATTTGCAGAACTAGCATGAACAAAGGGAAGATTATCTTTATCCTTTCTTTCTTTAAAAGAGTTCTGCACGTTAAGTCTGGATTATATTGGAAAATGGAAATGGTTAAGTGCTTTGCATACAAATGTTATTTAATATAGTGATTCCAACATTTACATACGTATGCTGACATAGATGGATACTAAAGATACTTTCTTTAAAAGGTTTCTATTTAAGTTTTGAAGTTGTGGAAATAGGATTTCTGCCTTATTTATCCTTACTGGAGGCATCAAATAATAACGTGGATTTATATGTGCACCTTCTTTTACGGATTTCACAACAATTGATAGTATATTTTCTTTGTTTCTAGGAGCTGAAGTTCTTTTACTACATTTCTGTAGTCCCTAACGTCCATGTCTTAGGGAGAAAGATTGTTGTACTCCTTGCCGAACGTAAACTTGTAGAAGGGTTCAGGTTGCTTTTTGATCCTCACCAACCAGGTGCTTGATGAGATCCAAGTTTGACTGATTTGTGAGTCATCCATAGAAGGAAGAACCAAGATGAGAGACTGAACCTGGGTATGCACAGCCAGAGATGCTCCATGATGGTGATGGTGAGAGTGCAAATCTCTATAGCTTTGAATGGCACCAGGATTCAGATGATGACAATGACGATGGTGGTGATGATGATTGATGGTCATGAGGACGATGGTGACAATAATGATGAAGATGATGATGTTGATGGTGCTGGTGATGATGGTGATGCTGGTGGTGATGACGGTGATGATGGTGATTGTGGTGGTGATGATGGTGAAGATGATACAATGAACATAAAATAGTTCATATGACTCAAAAACCCTTGAATAAACCTTTGATTGGACCCGACTTTTTACACTGTCCAGGTGGGGTCTTACTGGTCTCATCAACCTCAGCACTGGGAGAGTGGAGGACCAATACACCTCAGTTTCCACAGTTTGCCAGTGTCAGGGACTTGCCGTTCTATGTGGGGGATATTTTCTCAGGGAATATGGTACATTTTGCCCTCTCTTTCTATTAATTATGGCATCCTTTTTGTTCTCCTGGTGCTTCAACTATCATGTCATTTTTCAGACCTGGAAGTTGCCTGTTACCTTGTAAGGCTTTTCTAAATTCCTACCCACTGCTTCTGCACAACTAACTTTCCATGAAGTAGACTCCATGACAACAGGGAGTCCTGGCTTGAATTAACAACTGGTCTATAGGAGTTAACTCAAAGTTTTCAGGTGGATTAATTTTGCCTGAAGAGCCAGGTGCATGAGGCGCTCCTGAAACTTGTTTATTTTTGGAGGCGCTACATCTCAGGCTGCCTTCCTTAGCATGCTCCCTGATGAGTGCGATCAGTCCGGTGGGGGCGGTGTTCTGAGTGCTGGTGATCGGTAGAGCCCATGTCCTCGGCTCTTCCTTGCCTAATTGTGAGAGGTGGGAGGGAGCTGAAGTTGGCACTTGAAGCAGCACAAACACCGGTCCAGCCAGAGGCCGCAGACGACTGAGTCCACACAAGCTGCAGTGGGTCTGAGACATTGAAATATGCCGAGTGCATATAAATCCTCCCAAATCCAGGAGAATATTCTAATCTGCTAGTATTCCATGTCCCCAGACTCATCATTGTAGTGTTTATCAGTCTGAGACCTTTGAAGACAGGTGTGAAGAGACAGGAAGGGTGGTCATATGCTTTACAGGGTTGTTCAGGTGAATATTTTATTTTTAGGACAGAATCAGAAGCGGGTGGACAAAAACGGCAATTGCTGGTGTCCCCCGAGGGAGCACAGCTGTGTCTGAGGAGTGATACGTGGCTGCCACGATTGCTGTAGGGAAGGAGAGCCGGGAATGGGAGGAAAGGCCTCAGAATGGAGGACAGTCTGTCTGAGCACCAGATAAACTTTTAATTTCCAGACCGTCTTCAGAAGGTGTGTGCACCCCACAGGGAACACCTGTGATGCGCCCCGCTGTTTCCTGTCATGACGTCTACAGCATCCGTCCCGTGCGTCCTGTGGGACGTGGTGGCGGCGGTGGTGGTGGGAGCTTGGAGGCCGTCTGGACACCTGCTCCCGCGGTGCCCAGACCTTCGCATCCTGTGCCACATCAGGGACTCAGTAGGCAGACCTGAAGACGGGGCTGTCAGGACGCGTGCTTCAGACTTGGCTTTGTGGTTCTGGTCCAATCTCTTGAACTTCCCTAATGCACAATGAACGGAGTTGGCCTAGAATGTAGGAGGCATTTAGCACGCGCTCGTAAGCTACGACATCACATGCTCCTTCTCGTGGCACGTGGGGGAAGGTAGAGGGGAGAATTTTAACTACACTGTTAAATCTTGGAAAATGGCAGTAAGAACTGAATTTCCCAGGTTGTTTCAAAGACACACCACGAAAGTGGCATTTGCGTTAAGGATGCTGGTGAGTCAGAAGGAGGACAGTGGTTGTTCAGCCACAGTGACGTGCCCTGAGTCTTGTCAGGGCTCTCTTCCATGGAGGTTCCCCTCAGAGCAGTCTGGGGCCAGCCCAGGCCTGCCCAGAGCCACTCAGGACGTGGCATCATCCTTATTGGTCCGGCCTCCCGGAATGAATGGAGCCGCTTCTGGTCGGCAAGACCAAGGACCTTCATGGCACAGGCTCGTCCCCCCCGGTAAGAGCCTTGTACACCTGCCCCCCGAGCCTGCCTGGCCCTGCAGACACCGGACCAGACTCCTGCTATCCTGCCAGGAGATACACACCCAATCTGGGCAGGAGACTGTTTGGGGGGTTTTGAATCCGGTAGCTTGAAACATATCAGATTCTCAGAATCACTGGGGAAGTTTTAAGAGTAGCCCAGTGTACCCTGAACACATCAGAGTCTCTGGCAGAGCAGGCAGCAGGGAACTGCGTCCGTGGAGACTTCCTGGCGGATCCTGATAGATGAGGCAGGTTCGGAGACAGCCCAGTGGAGCGCTCGCCTGCTGACGGGCAACACCCCCCAACTTCTCAGACCAATTGGTTTTGATTTCATTGTGAAAGACTCCAGGGAGGAAGAACTACTATCTATCTAGATGAGTGTTTTTGAGGAAACAAATAAAGCGGGGGAATTTAGAATTTCTTGAGCCACAGGCATCCGAGGGAGGTGAGGCCGGTTCACAGCACTGCGCTCTGTGGTCTCTTAGACACGGACCGGGCCGTAGGGAGTGTGGGGTCAGGGAAGTCAGGGAGCCTTTCAAGCGCCGGGACAGCTGGGGCCAGAGGTCCCTGGTGGACGGCCACTGTCTCTCCGCAGCTGGTGGGCGGTCAGGCGTTTGCTCTTAGAAACGCCAGGTCAGATACTGTTCCCTGCGGTGTGTGACGCGGGTTGTAGGGATGGTCTAGACCCCTGCACGGGATCTCCTTTCTCCGCTGCACGCAGTCTGTCGGAGGCCTGACTACAGATCTGCTGCATCACATGCCTGTGGAGGGTGTGCTTCTTCGCACAGGTGTCCTTGTGTGTGGGGGGGTGGAGAGCAGAGCCGTGGCGCATGTGGGCTGTGCAGAGCAGAGGAGGCTGAGAGCAGAGGAGCGGACACAATGGGCACCCCGCAGGGGCTGTGCTGGGTGGTGTGCAGGACCCGGGGAGGTCGTGGCTCCCGAACTGGGGTGCCTGCTGGCTGCAGGGGTGGACCTGCCTCTGTGGACCTTTGGGGCTGCATTCCGGGAGCTCCATTTAGGAGCGTGGAGCCAGGCTTGTGGCAGGCAGGCAGGGTTTCTCCAAGGTTACTTGGAGGACGCAGACGCCCTGACCTTTGGGAGCAGACGGGCCCACAGGCCTGTGCTTCCTGGGGGAGCAGAGGTCCCAGTCCCCCCATGTGCCATCCTTCCAAAGCAAAGACCTGTACCATGGGGGGGGGCGTGACACACAGAGCCCCCCCTCCGTGGCAGTGCCTTCTCTCTAAAGCGGGAGTCATTCCTGAGTGTCCAAGCCCTCCTGGGCCTGTGAAGAACACACAGGTTCTCTGGGAGGCCCTCCACGCAGAGGGCAGTGTGGTGTTCTTACCCTTACTGGCGAATAAGGGGAGGTGGTGTGTGGCTCCCGGAGGTGAGTCTGAGTATAGACTTGCCGAGAGCCCCCTCCTGGGTGCCAGGGACAGCAGGCTAAATAACCCGGGAGCAGCATGTCACTTTGCCTGGCATAGCTGCAGTAAAAATGGGAGGAAAACACTTTATTTTGTTTGCCCTAGCAGCACCTGCCACTTCTTAAAAGCACCATGAAATAAAAGACATCTGTGTCGGGAAGTGAGCCCCCAGGGTGCATCTGAGGATGTGTTTGTGTGTTTTTCTAAACCACTGGCTTTGCAAGTTGGAATCGGGGGCCAGGGAGGCCGCCGTGGGTGCCGGATGCACAGAGGCGCAGGCCCAATGAGCCAGAACTGCCTCTCTGAAGACGCGGCGGGGCTCAGGCCGTCCTCACTCAGCCGTCCTGTCCTCAGGAGGAAGCCGGTAAATGAGGTAAATTAGGGCTGGCCCCAAACGTTCTGCCAGACCTTTCCTCCCAGACCTGAGGCCTCCTGGGCCGGGTCTTCATGATGCCCAATCTTCCGAGAGAAAATGGAAAGACAGTTCTAAGCAGCTGTCTAATGGACCACATTTCACAATTTCATATGGGAAGTCGGTTCTTGTAGATTCAGCCTGATGAACACTCCAAGAAAAATGAATCTGTTTCATGTTGTTTCCCCTTCCTTCTCTTTCTGAGACTACGTGACGGTGAAGGAATGCCCTGTGTGACCCTTGAGGGCGGATGCACCTGCCGTCACCTGCCAGGCCGTCCCAGCCCTCCCTCTCTCCTGGGGCGGCTCCCTGAAAGGCCCCTGGTAGTTAATGGGTGCCCTTCCCTTGACTCTCAATTTGATTTGATTCTGCCACTTACTTTCCACAGGGTGTGGCTATGGACCGAGTGTTTGGGTCCCTCAAAAACTCCCGTGTTGAAGCCCCAACCCCAAGGGGACCGTGTCAGGAGGTGGGGTCCCCCGATGGGATTCGTGCTCTTGTGAAGGAGACGTCAGGGAGCCCCCCTCGCCCCTTCCCCCAGTGAGGGCACAGAAGATGCTGCCCAAGAACCAGGCTGTGGCTCTCACCAGACCTGCGGGCGTCTGGATCTGGGACGTCCAGCCCCCAGATTGTGAGGAAGAAATGCCTGCTGGTTATAATCCACCCCAGCGGCCGCAGAGGAAGACAGTGAGGAAAATGTTATTCCAGAGGGGAGAGCCGTGGTCTTGGAGCAAAGGTGGCAGGAAGGAGGATGGATTTTTCTGGGCCAGGCTGCAACCGTGTTAGAGAAATAGACTAAGTTAACTACATGTAGGATTTTTAAAAGGGCTGTTTTCCCTGCACCTTCTTTACCTCATCAGTGCCTGGAGCAGCAGGGGTTTGGAAAGTGCTTCCCTTTCCTTCCACTGGTAATTAGAACACAAATGCGGCCTTCCATGGGGGGGGGAATCAGAGGCCAAAAATAAACCTTCCCTGCATGTGTCTCGTCTGCTGTAGGTTTCCTGGGATCAGTCAGCATCTTCACTGGGACCAGACCCCGCATTATATACATGCTCGGTTTCACTGCCTACCTCAGATGGTTTGCTTGGTGCTGCTTCTGGGATGGGTCTGCGTGTGTGTTTGTGCGTACATGTGTGTGTGTGTGTGTGTGTGTGTGTGTGGTGCACATGCATGCATGGTATGTGTTGTATGAACACATGCTTCTGGGGCGGGTCTGCATGTGTGTGCATGTGTGTGGTGCACACGCACGCACGGTATGTGTTGTATGCACACATGCTTCGGGGATGGGTCTGCATGCGTGTGCACATATGTGTGCATGTGTGTGGTGCACATGCATGGTATGTGTTGTATGCACACATGCTTCGGGGACAGGTCTGCGTGTGTGTGCATGTGTGTGCACATATGTGTGCATGTGTGTGGTGCACACGCATGGTATGTGTTGTATGCACACTAGCTTCTGGGACGGGTCTGTGTGTGTGTGCATGTGTGCACATATGTGTGCATGTGTGTGGTGCACATGCATGGTATGTGTTGTATGCACACATGCTTCTGGGACGGGTCTGTGTGTGTGCATGCATGTGTGCATGTGTGTGGTGCACACACATGTATGTGTTGTATGTATGCATGCTTCTGGGACGGGTCTGCATGTGTGTGCATGTATGTGTGCATGTGTGTGGTGTGCATGCATGCACGGTATGTGTTGTATGCACACATCATATCAGGGATAGTTTAATGGCACTCTGGAGCAGCTCAACCCTTCTTCCTGGAGATGCTAATGTCATTGGACCCGTATGTTGGGTGGGCACTGTCGTTTACACCTGCTCTGCCCAAACCCCCAAGAGGGCAGGTCCTGCCCAGCACTCCGCATGGGAGTTCGTCACCCTGGGGCAACACCTACCCCTGGCTTTGTTATACATAAATAACCAAGCTCAGCATTAGTCTCCACAAAGTTGCAAACAAAGGTGAGCAAAGCCGCTTGGACTTGCTCGCACTTCGTGTAACTCCCGTCCCATTCTCCTGCCCTCTCTTCTACAGACCAGGGTGTGTGGGCTGCTGACCGATTGACATGAAGGGGAGCGACCCTGCTCTCTCTGATCTGGGCATTCACACTAGGGCTTCGGGGGGAGGACCCTCCTGACTGCCACAGAGGCATCCAGGGCATGTACGCACGCGTGGCCAGCACATATGGCCTGGCACGGGGCCGGCAGAGGAGAGGGGTTGTGGCTTACGGTCTGTGGTGATCTCGTAGGGTGAGTGGAGCCTGGCGTCTCCGCAGGGGGATGTGCTCACGTAGAGATGGAACAGCACGTTGTCCCTTAGCCGGTAGCCGCCATCCTTGGACCGCTCGAATATCGAGTGCTCTGAGTCCTCCCGCCGCTTGCTAGGGTCAAAGAGAGGGTCCTGGTCACCTGTTATGAACTGACCAGAAAGGCGCCCACTGGGCCCATGGCTTTGCCTGGTTTTGTGTCTTATTTCCTCGTATTTTTCTCGTTGCCCCCTGCATGGTGCTTTCTCCCCACAGGACCGCGTCTGGGGCAGGTGGCAGTGACACGGGGCAAGGAGACCCAGCCGGGCCCCAATGCCCTGGAATGTCGCGTCTCGGGCCCCTCTGTTGTGGAGCCAGCCCCCTCAGTGATGCTAACCCCCCTCTCTGCATCATAAAGCCTCATGGGGCTCACGGCTCTGTGTGCAAAGGAGTCAGAGGAACGGCTTTAAAAGTGGGGAGGGCTTGGCCTCCAGCGCCTGGAGGGACCCCCTTTATTCCTGCACCCGCCATGACCCAGGGTGGTGTGCCTGCTCCCCCAGCCTGTGATGGGCCCAGGCCTCTGCCCTTGGAAGCCCCAGCCCGAGGGCAGGAGGCTGTGTCGGCCGCGTACAGGCTTCCTGCTGCTCACTGCTGTCCCCGTTCTGCCCCATTGGTGATGGGTTCTGTCGCTGGGTCCTGAGACCACACGGGCAGTGGTACAGACATTCCCCCTGGGAAACCCCGAGGCGCACCCCCAGCCTGTTTGCCTCCCTGCTCTGCTCCCAGGCCCCACACCATGGTACACATCAGCCTGGAGCTGTGAGTTGGGTGTTGAGGAGAGAAAACCGTTGGGCACGTCTGGGAGACCCACACCCTGTTCCCGGCACCCTCGGCGGGCCCGGAGCTGACGGAGGCCTGCGTGCCGGGCTGCTGCTGGCCGCGGGGCTCACGCAGAGTTAGCTGAGGGAACGGAGCCTCACTTGGACGGGGTCTGCCCGTGCGCCCTGGGCCTGCCCTGTGGGCGCCATCCTATACAAGCCTGGAGCAGCCTGCATCCCGAGCTCGGGCGTCCGGGCCCAGCTGCCCCTGGTGGCGGCCTACCTCAGGTGCAGCTCTAGCTGGGTGTACAGGAAGTGGACCAGTGCTCTCCTGGCTACGGTCTCCGCGTGGCAGTCGTTGACCACCAGCCCCTGGTCACTGATGTGCTCGCCGCTGATGCACTTGGTCCCTGAGGACAGGACGATGACCTGTGCCTGCCTGACGTCCAAGCCTGGGGGACAGAGGAGGCGTGGGAGTGAGTCTGCTCTCCCCCACCAACCCCCGAGACCCCTGCCCTCCTACACCGGGAGACTCGACGTGCGCCGGTGAACATGGCGAGAGGCGCAGCCTGCCACCAAACACACCAGCAGGAGCAGTGCAGTGCCCACCAGGTGGGGGAGACCTGGCGGGCTGCTGGATGTCAGGCTGTGGTTCTGAAAGCGGGGAGCAGAGCCCTGAGCCCGACCGGGCTGTGACCGCCGGGACGAACCCCGGAAATCCTGTGACCACCGCCCTCTCGTCCCGTGGGAAGAGAGTTGTATCCTTAGAAAGATTTGCCGATGGAAGCATGCCGTGTGCAGGCAGGACGGGGGTGGAGGCCTGAGCCAGGCAGGGACTCCCGTGAGAACAGGCCCCTGGGCCAGTCCCTGTCCCCATGCACGTCTACCCCGGAGCCGCCACTCGGGACTTGAGACAAGACACCTGGGACCATGGGCAGGAGCTGAACCGACATCTGGGTCCTTTGAGCAGGCCCGTCTCCATGTCCCCCAGCACTGGGCCCTCTACCCCTTTGCCTCGAAGCTGGAGCACGTCCCCAGCTCAGGGGAAGTCGAGGCTCAGGGCCTGCAGGACATGTAGATGGCTGTGTCACAGGCTCAGCAGTCTGGGCCTCAAGGCTGGAGGGCCCTGAAGGCGAGCTGGCCGGACAGCAGGACCACCGGCACTCACGTGCGGCACAGTGCCCGGCCCCGGTGCATCCCTCGGCAGAGGTGCATCTCATGGAAGGGGGCCGGGGTTGTCTGCTCGGGCTGCCCCCTCCCCAGACCCAGCACAGAAGTGGGAGCCCCCCTGGTCCTGGCCTATGCTGCGGATTCTGCTTCCCGAAACTTAAGGCCCATGCACGACAGTGCCCGTCACAGACTGCAGTGAAAACGTGTGCTGTTCTGATTCAGCGCCACGAGGCTTTCTGTTTTCCCTAAAGAGCAGCAGCACAGGTGGGAGCCAAAAAGCAGGGGCTCTGTCCCAGCCCGCACAGCTCCTTCCTCCTCTCCCGTCAGGGTCCGCACAGCCCTTTCCCAGGCCCTGCGAGCCCCGGACAGCCGTCTTCCCCGGGCTGAGGGGAGAACTAGGAAGCCAGGCTTGTGTTAGCTTGTGGCTGTCCCTTGTGACCCACGGAAGAGATAAACTCACAGAGTGCGCAGAGCTATTGTGATTTTTGAATGCTCTTTATATATGTAAGAGCAGAGAGTTTTGAGGTCAGACAAACTAATGGGGTGGTTTTCTGACCCTTTCTCTGCGCCCAGGTTCCTAGCCATCGAATGGGGCGGTGTTCACTGCTGCCTGGGCATGCCCCCCCGCCCTGGCCCGCAAGTTCCCCTTTCCCACCACGGATCCGCGCTGAGGCCAAGAGCTGATGGGTCCTTCACACAGTGGAGGCCCCATGATTTACGTGTCACCGGACGGCGCTCATTCTGACCACGGTCCAAGGAATCTCGTCAACAAAAACAATATTCTCTGCAAGAATGGAAGACAAATGAAACCAAAGAAACCTTCAGAACGAACCCCAGACTCATGACTCTAAAATGTGGTGTGTTTAAGGATACCCCAGAACACCACGATCTCAGTTTATTCTTTGTCCTGTGAGGGGGAAGATGACTGCAGCTGGCTTACACCCGGAGTCTGGGCATGGAGGCAAGGACTGGAGCTTGGGATTCCTGCCCCAAGCTCGCCCTGCACTGTCCCGGGGCCCCCTGTAAACACTCAGAGTCCAGCCCAAGGGACCTTATTGACCTCTGGCCCAAACACCGTACGAGTAAGAGGTGGTTATACACTGCTCTGTGCTTTGCGGATTCCAGCTTAATTAAAGCGGGTATTTAGAGTAATGGGAAGTAACATTTATAATTGTTTCCTTGCAGTTTTTCAATATTCAGATGTCTGGTGCCTGTGCAGGACAACTTAGCAGCAGAGAACTATTTCTCCCGAGGGCTGGTCTGATGCTCCTCTCTTGATTCTGTGGAAATCGGAGCTGTAGAAGCAGAAACTGCTGTCCCTTCACCCTTCATTAATCCTCAGCTCCTCTGGACTTGGGGCTCTGCCATATTCAGCACAGTTATGAGGCCCAAGAGATGCATTATTTGCTTATTCGTTTTCTGTTAGTCTCACCTCCTATTGTCAGCATCGTGCCATGTGACGCAGCCTATCCTTCAAAGAATTTATCATGAATTTGGGGAGATGGCTCAGAGACAGAAATGTCCACAAAATAAGGTATTGCGTGATGAATACCATATAAGTCTGCACACAGACTGTCGCTAGGACGAGGGGAGGAGGGGGGAACTTCGTGCACAGGCTCTGGACAAGCTGGCCGGAGCCGGGGTCCCTGGTTGCACTGAGTTCTCGAAGGAGACGGGGAGGATGAGGGAGGAAGCCAGCCAAAGAGGAGGTGTTGTGAGTCTAGCCTCAGGCTGATCTGGTAGAACACTCTGGAATATGCAGGGGCCACAGGTGCCATGTGCTTAGGGGCAGGTGCGGAGCTCCTCCCCCAGCGGGGCTGTGGCCCTGGCCGCAGCAACCCCTGTGAAATGCGACCCAGCACGGGACTCTGGTTATGGGGTCCCGTGATGTGGCTGAAGGACAACATGAGCAACGGTCCCAGGAAACACGGCGCTACTGACTTCTGTAGAATGAATAGAAAACGTGATCAGAGACCCCCTCCCGCAAAGCCCCAGGCCCAGTCAGTTTTGTGGGAGAATTCTACCAACCTTGAAGCAGCGGCTGATTTCAAGGGTATTTATAAAGTGTCCCGGAGCACACGAAGACAAGGAAAGCCTTAAATTGTTTTTATCACGAAATACCTGTTACTGATCTATCCGCCTGACTGAGAATGCACAGAAGGGAAACAGGTAGCCTCAGTTATAGATACCAAAGATTCTAAATCAAATACTAACCACCGAGCACTGGAGGAAAAGACCAATACAGTAATCACCACAAGGGGGGTTTATTATGGAAATGCAAAAGTGGATTCAATTCAATTAAAGAGCAGTACAAAAATATGATTATAATTACAGACAATGAGAAGACATCTGACAAAGCCCAACAACTGTTTTGATAAAAACTCAATAAACGAAATAGATGTATTTTTCCAATGTGATGTTACACACACACACACACAGAGGTATACCCACAGGGACACACACACACATGTATAGAGAGGTATACACACATATGACAGGTGTATACACGTACCCCCCCAGTGGCATGCTAGAACACTAGAGGGACGTCTGCGTGCTCAGGAACACGGCAGGAATGCCCGGGTAACTCCGTTCCTTAACATTCGCCGAAGCTATTAGCCGGCACAACAAGAGAAGGAAATTGGAGATAGAGCAGTTGGAATGGAGAAGGAACAGTGTTGCTGCAGAAGGCACTATGACTGTGGATGTGGAAACCTCTGGAGAATCCAATCGGAATACTGCTAGAGATAATAAGAGAGTCAGCAAGGTGATAGGGTACAAGTTAATATACAGAAATCAACAGCTTTCGTACGTACACACAGCAGCTAGTGAGAAACTATAAAGGACAAACAGCCCCGTTTACTGCAGCAAACAAGATAACAGGAATGAGTTTAACAAGAAACTATCAAGATGAGAAATGAATAAACATTTACTCCCCCGAAAGACACCAACAAAACTCGAACACATGGATGTTGCACCTTCTTGGACGGAAAGATTTGATGTCTGGAACCTTCTCCACAGTGATTGATAAGGTTCACATGATTCTAGTAGGAACAGCACAAGGGCTTTGTTTTTGACAAAGCAAACCTGGTTGAAAAATATGGTTTTGTTCCTTTATTTTTGAACCACGCAAGCTGATTTTTGTGGGTAACCCAGGAAGTTCTGGGAGAGAAGACCAATAGCAGGGCACAAAGCCCAATAGACATCAAGCAGGTTATAAGGGCTCAATAGCAAATTGCCATGGTTCTGATGCAGGAAGTCCCAACAGGAGAACAGAGCAGAAAGTCCAGAAACTGACCCAAAGTCAGAAAGGAATTTACTGCAGGATAGAGGTGCTGAGATCTCAAACCTGTGGGTTGGAGACACTGGAGACACTAGCCCATTAGAGCTATCCAGTAACTGAAGAGCCCTCTGAAAAACAAAACTGCATCTTTACTGTGCACCGTGCACCAGCGTAGGTAACAGGTGGGTCAAAGGTGTTGATGCAAAAGCATGAAGAGCTGCATCTTTATTCATAATCACCCAAACTCAGAAGCATGTCCTCCAGCAGGTGGTGGATAAATGAACTGTGGTCCATCCAGACAATGGAATATTATTCAGTGATAAAAAGAACGGAGCCATCAAACTATGAAGAGACATGGAGGAAGTTTGGATGCGTATCACTCAGTGAAGGACGCCAATAAGGCAAGGCCCCATGCTGCTGGATGGCATTCTGGGAAAGGCGGAACTATGGAGACAGGAAAAGAGGAGGGTTTTCCGGGGGCGGGGTGGCAGTGGAGAGACGGAGCACAGAGGTGTTCAGGGCCGTGAACCTGCTCTGTGTGACACTGGAATCTGGGTCCATGTCCTTATACATCTGTCCAAACCCAGAGAATGTACAACACCAAGAGTGCAAACTGTGGACTTGGGTTGATTAAAACAACAACAACAAAAAGATGTAAACACAGTAGAAGAAAACATGGGATAATCTCTTCATAAATTTGGTGAGTGAAAGACCTTTCTGATTATAACTAAAAGTCTCAAAGCAGTAAGAATTGCTAAATTCAGATGCATAAAATAATTCCGGGAGTTCACTGTCCTGGCGACTCATTGCAAGCAAGCACACCTCACTGTGTCCCAGGGGAGACCGGTGCCGGATCCCTGTGTGCAAACACAGTCGAGAAGAGCTCCAGGACCAGAGTGAATGTGTCTCCCTGGCTGGCTGCTTGCATCACCCTCGTCAGCTCCATGCACCTCCATCCCCAACTTCAGGCAATCTTTGGGAATGTCCTTTTATTTATTTAAC